GTTAGTAGCATGATTAGGATAAAAGATAGGTGGTTGCATTATTTTGGGTTTATATTATTAGGGTATGATATTATTGAAAATGTGGATTTTGGGATTGTCATTGATTCACCAATCTTATTGTAAATTTTTGTAGATGGGCGGTACCCCCGTTCTTGGTAGGTACCTTCCTAATACACATTTGATACTTTTTATTTCAAAAAAAAAAAAAAAAATTGTGGTGAGAAATCTAAATGTGTTCTAATTTTTCTTTAGTTAGTTAAAAGATGGAGGACATTTATTTTTTTAAATTTCTTGTCCTAATTGTGGTCTTTCAATAATTAGATTTCAGATTTCACTTTCTTTAGTTTGATGCATTGGTTTTTCTTATCTCTCTCGTAACTCTTGAGAAGTTATATGAACTCTTGAAAAATTGCCTCAACATAGACAATCGAGTCAAAAGCTCGGAGCTTTCCAAACGTTGAAATTGTAAGCCATAATTCAGTCTTATTAGTGATTTCGTTGAATTTTGATGTTGTATTTGTCTTAATACGAAAATAATACTAGGTGAGAAAGTTGTGTTTTCAAAAAGTTAAGGCACTTTGAGCTCTAGTACATGGTCTTATTGGTCAGTTTTTTGAGTTTTTTTAAAATTATAATTTTTTTAATTCTATTAAATAGAGCTTGAAAAAGTTGAGGGCCTAAAAGAAAAATTCTTTCAAATTAGATACTTGAGGTTATAGTCATTTTTAATGTTATAGCTATTTTACTATTATTGCATACAACTTAAAAATCTGGGTAATTGGTACTTGAGCTTTGAGATAAACATTCTTTTACACTTCTAGGGAGCTAATGACAAGAATTTCTTGTCAATCTGTCTATTTGAATGGAAGTTCCTTTCACCAGCCATGTGGTTTCATGTTTCCAAACACTTGCAGTTGCTCTGATCGATATTAGTTTCTGTCCATCTTTCTGGATGATGCTAAGTTCACCGGGTGAATATTGGAAAATCTTGCTTATATTATTTTCAGAGTTTATTATTTTCACTGAAATGATTAGGAAATAAAGCAAAGTTTCTTATGAATGGGACACTCCTTGTAGTTTTGTTGGCTATCAATGCGTACCCTGTATTCATGTTCTTACTGTGTTATATATAAAACAGAATAGTGGAATAGTGATTGTTTGTTAAACCCTTAAGCTTATCTATTTGCTTTCACCCCAAAGAAGAGGGTTTTGGATGCACATGCATGCAGTAAGGGGATACACATGCTTTTCTAAGAACACTCAAGTGATGCTGTCTAATCATACCTCCTTTTCTTGTGATTGTGTGCCATTCTTATTATTTTCACTGAAATGATTAGGAAATAAAGCAAAGTTTCTTATGAATGGGACACTTCTTGTAGTTTTGTTGGCTATCAATGCGGTACCCTGTATTCATGTTCTTACTATGTTATATATAAAACAGAATAGTGGAATAGTGATTGTTTGTGAAACCCTTAAGCTTATCTATTTGCTTTCACCCCAAAGAAGAGGGTTTTGGATGCACATGTATGCAGTAAGGTTTAGGATGCACATGCATGCAGTAAGGGGATACACATGCTTTTCTAAGAACACTCAAGTGATGCTGTCTAATCATACCTCCTTTTCTTGTGATTGTGTGCCATTCTTATTATTTTCACTGAAATGATTAGGAAATAAAGCAAAGTTTCTTATGAATGGGACACTCCTTGTAGTTTTGTTGGCTATCAATGTGTACCCTGTATTCATGTTCCTACTGTGTTATATATAAAGCAGAATAGTGGAATAGTGATTGTTTGTTAAACCCTTAAGCTTATCTATTTGCTTTCACCCCAAAGAAGAGGGTTTTGGATGCACATGCATGCAGTAAGGTTTAGGATGCACATGCATGCAGTAAGGTTTAGGATGCACATGCATGCAGTAAGGGGATACACATGCTTTTCTAAGAACACTCAAGTGGTGCTGTCTAATCATACCTCCTTTTCTTGTGATTGTGTGCCATTCTTATTATTTTCACTGAAATGATTAGGAAATAAAGCAAAGTTTCTTATGAATGGGACACTCTTTGTAGCTTTGTTGGCGATCAATGCGTACCCTGTATTCATGTTCTTACTGTGTTATATATAAAACAGAATAGTGGAGTAGTGATTGTTTGTTAAACCCTTAAGCTTATCTATTCGCTTTCACCCCAAAGAAGAGGCTTTTGGATGCACATGCATGCAGTAAGGGGATACACATGCTTTTCTAAGAACACTCAAGTGATGCAGTCTAATCATACCTCCTTTTCTTGTGATTGTGTGCCATTCTTATTATTTTCACTGAAATGATTAGGAAATAAAGCAAAGTTTCTTATGAATGGGACACTCCTTGTAGTTTTGTTGGCTATCAATGCTTACCCTGTATTCATGTTCCTACTGTGTTATATATAAAACAGAATAGTGGAATAGTGATTGTTTGTTAAACCCTTAAGCTTATCTATTTGCTTTCACCCCAAAGAAGAGGGTTTTGGATGCGCACATGCATGTAGTAAGGTTTAGGATGCACATGCATGCAGTAAGGGGATACACGTGCTTTTCTAAGAACACTTAACTGATGCTGCCTAATCATACCTCCTTTTCACGTGATTGTGTGCCATTCTTGTTACAGGTCTGGAATACAAATGAACATGAGGATTTGCAAATGATTGTTATTGTGTCTCGGCCACCAGTTAAAGTGTATGAATTCTCTTTTAATGTGTTGATATTTTGCCATTTATATTTGGTTCTCCCTTCTGCCTCCCCCTTTTTAGAAACTCACAAAATCTCCATATTTTGTTTGCTGAAACATTTCCATTTCTAAATCCGTAGTGGTGTTTTCAGAATGTATTCCATGTTTGATGCTCTGTTGTTAGGCAGGATAGTTCCTAAAGCACTTCCAGATTTTAACTCCGCCTTTAGCAGAGAGGAGTAATTTTGGGTCTGGACTATCCTGGTTTCTATTTTCCTCTTCTCAAGTACTTAACTATCTTCTTAAGCTTTCCCACTTAAGAGAGTTGTTCTGATAAACCCGCCTTAATGAAAGTCCATGTGGATATATAATCAAGGCAGGTCTGAAGAACTTACAATACACATTCAGATGGTTATTAAAATTTGAACTCTCTGAGAACTCTCAACATTCTTCTTGTGAAACTCTTTCACTGAGTAAATAACTGAATCCCGTTTTCTCTCCATTTTTCTTTCTTGTGGACATTTTTTTAGGTTTATATACGAGGACTGGTTCATGCCTCACATTGCAGCAAAGTTGAAGTTCCCATACTATTGGGACGAACAATGCATGCAATTTACAGCACCTGAGAAAGATGAGCTTTGAATTTTGATTTACCAGTGTCGCACATTGCACAGATGGCAAATGAGCGGTCGATTGTTGGGTATTTGACCGTACAATTTTCAGAGGAAATGAAGAAGCACTAAGGTGGTTAATTAGATTTTGTCTCACACCAATATTAGTTAGAAACTACGAATTAGGAAAGGTGTATGTTTTGCGCTGCCAAAATTAACTTTGCACCTACATTAAATCAGTGTATGACAGAAAGTTTCACGTTCATTATAGTTTTCTTTTGGATCAACTAGTTTTTGAAATGTGTTACAGGTGACTATTTGAAATATATATATATAGATATCTTTGAATAGTAAAAGGTGACATTTCTTCTGATATGTCATGCATTGCTATCTGAAAATATTGTCCAGTGGAATAGCAACTTTGGAATCTAAACTTCGTAAACCTCGAATTTGGATAAAACAAGCAAACAACTATTATATTTCAGAGCGCACATCTGGGAGTATAGATAATCCTCTTTTTCATTCGGGGGGGCTACAGAAGAATAGTTACTCTACGTTCATAATTTATTACAGACTCGGAATGGCAGTTTCACTTTTTTCTCTTTGTCAATGAGATTCTCCGATCAGCCTCTCTCTCTGCAACTACGACATGGAACTCTGATCCAAGCATGTCGTGTATTTCAATATTCTTTGTGTTGCTCGCATTAACTGTGTCCATTATCACTTCAACAATCAACGTAAACCCTAAGTTAGATAGCACTCGGATAGCATTTGCAATTCTGCATATGTTCTGTCTCATCTCTAGTGGGGTATATATTAGCTCTTGTTCCTCAAGACTAGTAGAATTTTTGTTTGCTGTGATCTTCTGACGTTCAACGTCACTGATTTGATCCTCCACCATACTATCTCTAACTTCCACATGTTCACCGACCCATATATATCCATTGCATCCAAGTATAAGGTCAACTCCATATTGCTCGAGATGATGGAAATGTTGCTTGCTTTTCTTCACTAGATAAGGATCAACCTTTAGCAACTGACCCTTCTCAAGCTGAAATTCATCAGTATGTTAGTGATGGCATTAACAAGTACTGAGGTACAAAACAACACCATATTTAGAAACATGTAACAGAAAGCAGTAATTCTGTTCAATTAAGAACCGAGATGGGTTAAATGTTTGAAACATGAAAGCATAACCCAGAAAAGTATCGCTTTACAACTTGAACGTACCTTTCCATATTTTCGACTTCTTGCTTGGAGCTGCAAGCTGCCATCATTGTGGACATTACGAACTTCAGCCTGAAAGAAATGTCATTTGTAGCATTCAGTTAATTTTTTCCTGTTTTCCTGCTGCCACAATGAACTGGTAAAAGATGTACTACTGGGCAGACTTACACACACAACATCATTCTCTTCAAAAATATTGCGCATGTTGAGTTCATCTAGAGCAGTTCGCCGCCTCTGAAAATCAATCAAGTGATATTTAAAGACCAAGTTACACATTTTACCTAAAACCAGGGTAAGATGAAGTGTGAGAATTACAGTTCTTAAATATAATCATATAAGACAGCTATTATGCTTCAAAACTCTTGATAATAAACATTTCTGTGAAATGAACTCTATCCCATCACCACTGACTAATATCTCTCTCTTCTATCTCTGGTACCAATCTCTGAACCAAGGGCCTTGAAGTAAGTTGAGATTTAACCATCAAAGCACCTCGTAAGGATTAATAACTAATAGTTCTCTTGACAACGAAAAAAGACATCAGATTCTTCTATTACTTATCCTTTCAGCAACAGTCGAGTAGTTGTAAATAAGGGATGATAGTTGGAAAACTGTATTAAAAGAAAACAAACAGCCAGCAGTACATGTTCAAAAAGAAGAAGATACCTGGATACCATCTGGCAAGTTCATCGAAGAAAGCATCAAAACTGCATCCTGGTTGAAATTAATCTCCAGTCTCCATCGCTTTTGAGCAATCTGAAAATAGAAACGGAGAAGTTAAACGAGAAAATGGGAACTCTTTGGGAGTAGAAAAGGAGAAAGTTAACGAAAAAAAAAAAAACAAGAACTTTTCAGGAAATGAATGATTTTTAAGTACCCTGATTATTTTGCTTAACAATACAATTTGACAAGAAGAATTTTACATTCTAACTATTCGATCAATTTTATCAAAAAGTCAACTTCTAAGCAAGAACAAAGATTCAAAGCACATTAAACACTAATTCGAATCAAGCTTATTCCTAGTGATGGTCACTTTGCTCTTTCAATAACCTACTTCATGGCACCCCAATCAGGATGCAAGAAAGCAAAAGATCATATTGCCATGAACATGAGATTACCTCCAGAACCCGTCCTACCACGATATCTCCAACCTCAGGCTTGTACCTAAAATTCATTTAACAGCAATTTCCTTATGCATTAGATAAACCACACTGTCGAATTTTGGAAAATCAACTTGGAAACAAATACCACAAGATTCAAAGTCTACTTCTTAGCGATAAAATCCAGAGAGAGTACAGAAATAATAGCACCTGGCTCGTAAGGCCCGTACATAAACGAGCTTGTTCACACGCTCTACTACTCCACAGACTGTAGCCACCACTTCACCGTTGTGGTCAGCAGTTCCAAGTCCTCTATTTATCCAAAAAGAAGTTTCGATGAAGGAAAAAAAAAACGAATCAACAGTATACAAGCGTGTGTCTATATGGATATATATATATATTCACAATTTGATAAATGCATAGATGGAGATGTTAGGTTACTTGAGGAAGGCATCTTCGTAGTTGACAGGGATGGAATCGGCAACGATGACGGATGCGTTGGGGTTGGTGGTGCAGGACTGGAGCTTCTCGAGAGCTTTGTCCAGTCGTATCTTCTGCGTTTGACTCAACGACAACGAGACCTGTAACTTTCTCATCTCCGCGCCTTCGTTATCCTCTCTTCTCTCCTTTGCCAACCAGTAACTACGAAAATGGTGCTAATCGGGAATTCAACCAGGAAACATAAACCCTAATCTTAAACCCTTGCCCGTCTCAGTACTCAGTGGGTTCATCTGCTACTGGAGCTTCTCTTGAATCTCCTCAATCTTTACGGATCTTCATTTTATCTTTCGGGTTGATATTCGGGTCCGGATCCGGGTCCATATTAAGCTTAATGGGCTGGGCTTTGAATTATTAGCCCACGTGCGTCATTTTTTACGGCCTGCCAATAATCAAAATATTAAACAACAAACATTTTATTTCATTCATTGTCTTACCCTAATTATATATAATATATTTTCTAAATTAAATTTTAAAATATATGATATATTTTAATTCAGTATATAATATATACATAATTTGAATTTTCATTTTAAAGAGTATTTATACGTAAGACCAAAACAAAAACGAGAAATCTATATCGAACGAATTAATAATACTAAATTAGTAAAACAAGAGATCAAGATCCGCGTGAATAAAAATTATGACATACTAATTATTTGTGTATATTTTTTTTATTAATTTATTAATTTTTTAACCAAGTTATTTAAGTTATTGACTATTCAATCGAACTATTTAGATTATAAATAATTTTATTTTTATATGCATTTTAATTTGAAAGTTATAAAATACTACCTAGTTTTTATCTTTGAAACAATCTTCTAATTATACTTTTCAAATAAATTCAAATATTTTCTAAATTGTCTTATTAAAAAATCTCAAATTAATTAGAGGGTTTTGTGAGCCTAAATTTATTAAATTCATATACAACATGCTTATCTTTATTTATTTTCTCAAAAAGAAAAAAAAAAAGCCACCATGATATGGTATTTATTTATTATTACATTAATTGAAAATAAATATTAAAAATTTGTATTTTAAGAATATGTATTTGAACATTATATGCTAGTAATAAACATAAATATTTACTCTAAAAATGTATAAATTAATTAATGTCATTAATTAAAATGCCCATGACTAAATAAATTATATTTTTCATATTTAAAAAATAATAATAATAATTTGGAAATGTAATTATTAATTAGTAAAGTTATAGTTTGCAAGTTTATTCATTACTATTTGGTAAATTACTAGTTAGGAAATTGAATTGGCTAATTATTTGAGTAAGGAAACTCATAAATCTATAATTTTAGACCATAATAAGAGGCAATTATGGAGGAAAAAATAAATATAAATTTTTAAAGAATTAAAAAATTATAATAAAATACACATTAATTAATTAATTAATTAATTAATATAAAATATCTTAACCCACAAAAAGTTATTCCGAATAATCTTCTCATCCTCACAAAAATTAAATAAATAAATAAATAAAAAACTCACCAACCTCTCTCTAATTTTTCTTTTTTCTCAAAATAATAAAATTAATAAAATAATTATTAAAAAATTAAATAATTATTTAAAGAAAGAATAGAAGCAAAAAGGAAAAAAAAAATTATTTGGTGTAATTAATATTAGTTTTGTCCTAAACAGGTCATAAACCAGCTAATTAGCAGCCTAACAATGGCTGCCTCTCTTCCCCCCTGATCTCTATCGCTTTCACCCCTCTTGATAACCCACCAACCCCCCCTCCTCATGGCCTTTTCCACCGTCCCTCTCTTCGCCCTCCTCCTCGCCGCCTCTGCCGCTTCCTTCGCCGACGGCGTCACCGCCGGCGTTCGTCTCGGCGTCATCCGTAAACCTTTCCCGGACGTCCCGGAATTCCGGGAAGCTCCGGCGTTTCGCAATGGGGAGGGATGTGAAAAGACAATCCACGTGTCCATGACCCTCGACGGAAACTACCTGAGAGGCACCATGGCCGCCGTGCTTTCCATTCTGCAACATTCGGCTTGTCCAGAAAACGTCGTCTTCCATTTCCTCTGGTCCAATTTAGAACCCAACCATGTTTTTTCCACCATCAACACCACCTTCCCTTACCTTAACTTCAAGGTTTACCGGTTCGACCCGAACCGGGTTCGTGGGAAAATCTCCAGGTCAATCCGTCAAGCTCTCGACCAGCCTCTCAACTACGCGCGTATCTACCTCTCCGACACGCTCCCCGACGACGTCAAACGCGTAATCTACTTAGACTCCGACCTCGTAGTCGTCGACGATATTGCAAAGCTCTGGGATGTTGACCTTGAGAAAAAAAGTTCTTGCGGCGCCGGAATATTGTCACGCCAACTTTACAAAGTACTTTACGGATTTGTTCTGGTCGGCGCCGGAGCTGGCCGGAACATTTGAAGGGAGACGGCCGTGTTATTTCAACACGGGGGTGATGGTGGTTGACGTGGAGAAATGGAGAAAAGGAGGGTACACCATGAAAGTTGAGGAGTGGATGGCGGTGCAGAAGCAGAAGAGGATATACCATCTGGGTTCTCTGCCGCCGTTTTTGCTGGTGCTCGCCGGAAATATTAAGCCGGTAGATCACCGGTGGAACCAGCATGGACTTGGCGGCGATAACCTTGAAGGAAAATGCAGAAGCTTGCACCCTGGACCGATTAGCTTGCTCCATTGGAGTGGTAAAGGCAAGCCATGGCTCAGGCTTGACTCTAGGAGACCTTGTACCGTTGACCATCTTTGGGCGCCCTATGATCTTTACCGCTCATCGTCCATGCATTCCCTGGAAGAATGACCCGACCCGACCCGACCGGGAACATCAAATGGCTACCCGATCCAGAGGGTATATAGTATATGTATATATGTATGGATCGATACACATACATGCATATATATATATATATATATATATCTACGAGAAAGAAGCTGAGACAAAAATTCAATAAACTAGGTTATGTGGATATATTATGAACTGACGGGTACGTAACTCCCATGCACGAAGAGATCGAGAGAGTTTAGAGGCGAGAGAAAAAAAAAAAATCATTTTATTATTCTTCGATATTCTTATTATAATTCATACTTTTATTATAGCCGGGGGGGCAAAAAAAAAAATAAGGTAATTGTATGGAGCTTAATTTAATTTGAAGGAGAAAGGCATATAATACGATTAAAAGAAAAAAAAAAAATTAGATAATCTTGTGAATTTTTTTTTCTTGATTTTAGAATGGGAAGGCAGATTTTAGAGCTCTCAATTGACTTTGTGTTTTATGTTGTGTTTATGTTTTGTTATGTGATTATGAACTCAGAAGTTTTAACCCAACATGAATTTTGATCTTTCTTTTATTGAAAATTTTTGAAAGTAAATGAATGGTTACAAAGTTATGATGCATGAAACAGTAATACTCATCAAATTACAACACCGATATATATACATGTATGTATAGCTTACAGAGTAAATTAGAAGCATGCATAAAGGGGGGGATATGTAAGAGAAGCCAAATCCAGTTGGGTTGATTTGTGCTCACCTTAACTAACAATAATTTCAAGATATTTTATTTCTAATGCTAATGTTTCTTCTCATGGCTTCCTTCTTGGCTCGGATAAAAGCATCTGATTTTTCGTTAATACTAGATTCTGCATACAGAAGCGGCCTTATATGTCTCGGAGTATCAGTTGGCAAAAACTGATTATGATCGTACTCTATCGCCAGCGGCAAGTTATTGTTGATTTCACTTATTTTTACGTTTTTACCTTTCTTATTTCTCATCTTGATATTCTCGTGATCATTTTCGTGATCAGGATGAATAGTCACCGTCCTTTTTGGTTCTGATTTGATTATCTCTTCTCGCTTCTGATCATCATGGTGATCGATAATCTTGTTTTTCTTTTTGACTTTTTCTCTTGCGCTGGTAGTATGATCATGATCATGATCATTTTTGTTTGCTGATGAACTATGTTTGTCGATAGGAGTCCATTGATCCAACCGATCGTGGTGATTATCATGGCTATGATCTTGATCTGATTTCTTGAAATGGATTTCAATATCAGACTTGTAGGATTTTCTATCATCGTTGTTGTTGTTGTCATCATCAATATCATTCCGGTAGAATTGCATTGAAAGTAATTCTCGATCCTCTTTAAAGAAACTAGTTGCAACATTAGTATTCACTTCATTAACAGGCTCATTCACTGGCGGTACTTTGACATCACCCTGATCTGCCACAGGTTGCAGCGTCTTTGGTATCTTCGTACTGTTGCTAGCTAAGCTATTGATGATGAAGTTGAATAGTCGATGACAAATTCCAATAGGCTTGGAACTATGATCCTCGAACT